TGACCCGAGAAGAGGCCCAGGACTATGGGGCAGTGAAGGCAGCTATCTTATACCGCCTTTAGATCAGTCCAGAGCACTACCAGCGGCTCTTTCGGGCCAAGAAGGGGATAGAGGAGAGGCGGCCACAAGTCCTGCTTCAATGGCTCTGGGACCTCTTCTGTAAATGGGTCAACCTGCCAACAGGTACAATGGCGACTCTTGTGGATAAGGTCGTCTTAGAACAGTTCATAAACGACCTGCAGGAAAGAACCCAGCGCTGGGTCTGGCAGCATGCCCCCGAGACCTGTGAGAAGGCTTTGAAGGTAGCTGAGGCCTTTGCAGCCTCGGAGTGGCACTATCTATGGGAGAAGGGGCCCCCATCGCTGGCTCCAGTAACAAGGGAAGTGGAGCGATATAGGCCAGGGTATCGGCCGCAAGAGGGGGACATGGTATGTTACCATTGTGGGAGGATAGGACATTTTGCCTGGGAGTGTCCAGGGCTTACCGCAGAGAGGGGACAGACCCTGAGAACCCCAAGAGGGATAGCTGAATTCCCTAAAGAATCAAGTCCTGGGGAGCCGACGGACTGTAGTTTTGGGACCGGGGGTGACAGCCCAGTATGGGAGCGCCCTGTAGTGAGGGCCTGGGTAGAGGACCGTCCGATCTGGGCAGTGTTAGACTCCGGGTGTGCGCAATCATTAATTAGAGCTGATCTCTGGTCTCAGGCCCCCACAGGTCAGATAGACCTGGTGAGAGTGTCATGTCTTCACAGAGAGACTCAGGCTCCCCATCGAGTAAAGGCTCGCCTTAGGGTCACGGAACATCAGGGTGAGTTGGTAGTGGGCCTTACACCCTGACTAGCATGTGATATGCTGCTGGGGCAAGACTGGGCCCCCCTGTATGAGGTGATGGAGAGGGTGCGGGATGTTGAAGTCATGCGCAAGACATGGAATCGCAGGAAAGGGTGGCTTAGTGACACTGAAGGAGGAGAGGGAACTGCCAAGGAGGGCGTGGATCCCGAGGTCAACTGGAGGGACATCACGAGCGGACAACAGTTCCGGCAGGCTCAGGGGAATGACCCTGAATTACAAGAGTTGTGGACCCAGGCCGTGACCAGGGCCCAGCTGCCGGCACCTGCCTCCAACTCAGGGAGTCGCTTCAAGGTAAGACATCACCTGTTGCATCGGGTGACTCTGAGGAGGGAGGAAAAGGACAGCAGGGTACAACTGGTGGTGCCCAAATGTTTTCGACAGGCAGTGTGGCAGTTAGCCCATGCCACTCCCATGGGAGGCCACATGGAGAGGGAACGCACAATAGATAAAATATCCCAGTGTTTCTTCTGGCCAAGATTGGGGGAAGACATAGCCCGACGCTGTTTAGAGTGCTCGGTGTATCAAAAGGCTAGGGAGGATCGGCCCCCCCCAAGCTCCAATGAGTCCAATGCCTATTATCGATCTACCCTTCTCCCGTATCGCCATGGACGTCGTTGGGCACCTGCTGCGCAGTAGTAACGGACACCAGTACATTCTGGTGTTCGTGGACTACGCGACCAGGTACCCTGACGGAGTGCCTCTCAGGTCGGTAACAGCTCCCCCAGATCGCCAAAGAACTGGTAAAATGGACAGCCCGTATGGGGATTCCCCACGAGATCCTGATGGACCAAGGGCAGAACTTTATGTCCGGGGTCCTGCGGGGGGTATGTCAGACCCTACGAATTAAACAGCTGAGGACATCTGTCTACCACCCTCAAACCAATGGGTTGGTGGAGCGGCTAAACGGGACTCTGAAGCGAGTGTTGCGGCGATGCCTACAAGGTGACCCCCGACATTGGGACCTGATGCTCCCGCTAGTCTTGTTTGTGCTCTGGGATGCCCCGTCAGAGTCCTTGGGGTACTCCCCCTTTGAGCTGGTGCTGGGTCATCAGCTGTGGGGTTTGCTACAGATTCTCCAGAAGGAGTGGGAGCAGGGCCCTATGGCTGTCCCCAACCCCTCGAAGTACCAGCAAGCCTTTCAACGTAGAGTCCAGAGCACCCGAGAATTAGCGGCTGGCAACCTGAGACAGGCAAAACAAAGACAGAAGGAAAGGGTTCATCAGTGGCAGGTCCTGTCAGACCAACCTGGTGGCTTTTTATGATCAGATCACCAGATCATTAGATGCAGGGGTAGCAGTGGACATAGTCTTCCTGGACTTCCGGAAGGCTTTTGACACTGTCTCTCACCCCGTTCTCATTAAGAAAATGGGAGGCTGTGGCGTAGACACCCACACAGTCAAATGGGTCGCCAACTGGCTGGAGGGCTGCACCCAGAGGGTGGTAGTGGATGGGTCCTTCTCAAC